CACCAAAAAACCCCCCAAACAATCCAATTTAAAAAATGGGCAAAGGACCTACATAGACACTTCTCTGGGGATTCTTGATGGCACTCACAGAGGCAACTCGTGGGGCAGGGGGACGAGAGCTTGTGGCCAGGGGCCTGGTCCCTGTCACAGCACCCAGTGCACAGGGCATGGTGGTGACTCTCAGGATTCCACCCTCAAGGCCTCAAGCCCTTGTCGCACCCCCCGCCCCTCCCCATCCATGATCAGAGGCCCTGCAGGAGGGACTGATTGTGGGGCGGCTGGAAGGTGACATCCCGAGGGGACTCTGCCAAAGGAATGCTGTTCCCAAAGTGTTGGGATTCAGGAACAATTTAAAAAATCTGTGTCCAGTCATTTCTCTGAGCGGCTCATTACTTTTAAATCAAAGAACATTAAAAAGCACACAAACTCAAGCCTTTTAGACACTAAATGCTCTCTGCACGTAGGAAGCACGCATCGGGGAGGAGGGCAGGCGTTGTGGGAGTCTTAGGGCCCTGAGCTCTGGGTTCTAGGCTGTGCGTGGGAACCCGAAATAGTCCAGGACTGCTGGACAGGGCTGGGGTGTCCAAGGGAAGCGGGGGGTTGTGGGGGGAGAGACACTGGTGATGGGACATGATTCTAAATGCTCCCTGAACATGTGAGAAGGGATGGAGAGCAAGCACCCTAACCTTTTCCTAAAGAGAAGATCCCCCCACGTTTTTGACCAATTTGAGTACATAAACTAAAGATGATGCAACTGTCAAATGCCTACTTAAAATGTTAAGCTTATGGCCCTGACTGGTTTGGCTCAGTGGATAGAGCGTCGGCCTGCGGACTGAAGGGCCCCAGGTTCGAGTCTGGTCAAGGGCATGTACCTTGGCTGCGGGCAAATCCCCAGTGGAGGTGTGCAGGAGGCAGCAGATCGATGTTTCTAGCTCTCTATCCCTCTCCCTCTCTGTAAAAAAAATCAATAAAAAGTAAATATATATATTTTTAAAAATATTAAGCTTATGATTTGGTTATTACCTGCAAAATTACAGTCATCGTTTGATTATAATTTTGGATGTTTGTAACCTGAAAAATGGGTGGAAAAGAGATAATAGGTATAAATATTGATTTTTCTTGCAGTTTCTGAGGCAGTGTAATTTCCAGCTCACCACTTGCATTTCTTCCTTTTTAATTGTGATTAAGTAACATCACATAAAATTGACCATCTCAACCATTTTAAGTGTACGATTCAGTGGCATCGGGCACATTCCCACTGTTGTGCCGCCATCACCACTGTCCATCTCCAGAATTCTTTTCAACCATTTTAAGTGTACGATTCAGTGGTATCGGGCACATTCCCATTGTGCCGCCATCACCACTGTCCATCTCCAGAATTCTTTTCTTCGTGCAAAACTGAAATTCTGTCTCCATTCACAATAACTCCCATTCTCCCGTCCCCCTGGCCCTGGGAGCCATCATCTACTTTCTGGTTCCACGAATTTGATGACTCTGGGTACCTCAGAGAGGTGGAAACATGCATATTTGTCCATTTGTGACTAGCTTAATTTCACTTAATGTGACATCCTCAAGATTCATCTATGTTATAGCATGTATCAGAAATTTCATTTTTAAGATTGAATAATATTCCATTAAATGTATATATTGATGGACGGTGAGTTGCTTCCACTCCTTGGCTTTTGTGAGTAATGCTGCTATGAACACGAGTATACAAATATCTCATCAGATTTCCGCCTTCGATTCTTTTGGGTATATATTCAGACGTGGAATTGCTGGATCGCAGAGAGGTGGAAACATGTATATTTGTCCATTTGTGACTAGCTTATTTCACTTAACGTGACATCCTCAAGATTCATCTATGTTATAGCATGGATCAGAAATTTCATTTTTAAGATTGAATAATATTCCATTGAATGTATATATCGATGGATAACGAGTTGCTTCCACTCCTTGGCTTTTGTGAGTAATGCTGCTATGAACATGAGTATACAAATATCTCATCAGATTTCCGCCTTCGATTCTTTTGGGTATATATTCAAACGTGGAATTGCTGGATCATATGATAATTCTATTTTAATTTTTTGAAGAACTGCCAAGGTGGCCATACCATTTTACATTCCCACCAACAGTGCACAAGGGTCCCCATTTCTCTACTTCCTCTACTTTTTGTTTTGTTAGTAATATCCAGATGGGTGTGAGGTAGTAATTCACCGTGGTTTTGATTTGAACTTCCTTAATGAATAGTGATGGTGAGCATCTTTTCACATGGCCTTTGGTCATCTGTATGTCTTCTATGAAGACATGTTCAAGTCTTTTGCACACACACACACACACACACGCACACACACATTTATCCAGATAAATGATTTGTGAATATTCCTCCCTGCAGTGGGCTGCCTTTTCATTCTGAGGGTTGTGTCCTCTGATGCACAGAGGTTTTTGTGTTAGAAGTCCAGTTCATCTGTTTTTGCTTTGGTTGCCTGTGCTTTGCCTGAGCGAGCGTCTTTTCACATGGCCTTTGGTCATCTGTATGTCTTCTGTGAAGACATGTTCATGTCTTGTGCGCGCGCACACACACACACACACACACACGCACACACACATTTATCCAGATAAATGATTTGTGAATATTCCTCCCTGCAGTGGGCTGCCTTTTCATTCTGAGGGTTGTGTCCTCTGATGCACAGAGGTTTTTGTGTTAGAAGTCCAGTTCATCTGTTTTTGCTTTGGTTGCCTGTGCTTTGCCTGCATTTTTGAATCCGTGTCCTTTGTCATGACTAAGCCACTTTTCAAGATGGCCAGTCTCGTTTCCAGAGCACCCATCTCCACCTCCCTCTAAGGGGTTTGACACAGGGCCCTGTGTGTGGGGTGCTGTCGTTACCCCATGCCACACACCCCTACTCGCCCAACATTACACCACGAGGTTATACTTGCTCTTGTGTAAACCCATAACCCACACACCTGCTGTACAACGCATACTGTAAAGTCCTATTTGCAGCAACATGCAAGCCCTGCTGTGCGAGGCCACACTCCCAGGAGAAATTCTAAAACGACACAAGATGACTTTATCTCTTTTAGCCCACTTGTCAGTCAGGTTGCTGGGATCGACATTTAAAATGAGCACCAAGTGAGATCATTTCTCACGGATGTGTCTTCCCCAAATGCCATTCTGCTGGTCAAAATGAAATACTTAGAAAGTGGCCCATAACACTGCATGCTCTGCAAAGAGGCAAATGCAAGGAACCAGTTTTCTGGGGAAAGCCCTGCTTTATATTCTGGCTATGTAATCCTATTTAATAAAAGCCTAATATGCAAATTGTCCCCTCGATCGGGAGTTCGACTGGGAGTTCAATCAGGTGGTGGGGCCGGCCGGCCAACCACAGGAAGGGAGGCCCCGGCCCTGGCCAGCGGCCAGCAGCCGGCAGCCACTAGGGACCCTACCTGTGCACGAATTTCTTGCACTGGGCCTCTAGTAATTAGTAACAATCATAGCAGCAGAAATAACCGCTGTTGTTGGGTACCACTGGCACTAGCTCAGCACTTCACACCGTCTCACAGAGTCCACACCACAGCTGTATGAGCCACTCATCTCATGTTGTTCCCTTTCTACAGATGAGGGAACTGAGGCTCAGGCAGGTGAAGGCATGTGCTGGGAGAGCTGGGATGTGAATCTTTGTCCTTCAGAACTCGGGCTCCTAATCGCTACATGATTCTGCTTTTATCTGCCTGGTTTATGCCGGGGTGGGGTGGGGTGGGTTTAGAAAGCTCCTACCTCCCTCTGCGAAGTGGCTGTTGTTCCACTTAGTTATGCACTCATTGGTTGATTCTTGAATGTGCCCTGACTGGGGATTGAACCCACAACCTTGGTGTTTCAGGACAATGCTCTAACCAACTGAGCTGCCCGGCCAGGGCCATACATGTCTCTTAAATCTTTTAAAATCAATACTCCCCTCCCCCCCCCCCCCCCACCCCCCCCCCCCCCCCC